TTTTTTAGTAAGGTTGGTTTTGACGGTTTTGCCGTGTTTTGATGGCCGTGCTTGCAACTAATTTGTAGGGGCAGTGTACCATATCAAATTAAGAGGGGCAGGATATCTTGCTAAACCCGACATAAACCCTAAACCCTGAACCCCAACGCTACTTGGAGGATCATGAAACTTAGTAAGTAAAGTTATAACTACCTCAATTGGGGATATGTTTGCTTATAAGTATAGGTATCTTATTTATAACCCTAGTTACTAAGTCCCGTGATCCTCCAAGTAAACCTTATAAACCCTAAACCCTAAACCTTAAACCCTGAACCCTAAACCCTGAACCCTGAAGCCTAAACTCTAAACCCTGAACCCTAAACCCTAAACCCTGAACCCCAACGCTGAGGGCCTCCGAAAACAGCCCAAAGCCAGGGAACTCTGAGAACCAGGTGTCGGACCTCGGGCTCTAGGGTTTGTTCGTTTAGGTCTTTAGGTCTTTAGGCTTTTAGGGTTAGAGATTTAGAGTTCAAGGGTTTAGGCCTTTAGGGTTTAGAGTTTTAGAGTTTTAGAGTTTTACAGTTTTAGAGTTTTAGGGTTTAGGGTTTTAGGTTTTAGGGTTTAGGGTTTTAGAGTTTTAGGGTTTAGGCCTTTAGGTTTTAGGGTTTGGGGTTTTAGAGTTTCGGGGTTTAGGGCAACCCTAAACCCTAAACGCCCAGGGCTTTGTGCTTTGGGGTTCTTGCGATACTTCGATGTTTGCTTGGGCTTTGCATCGAGTAAGGTTTGAAAGTTCAGGGTTTAGGGCTCAGGGCTCAGGGTTTTGTATTTTAGGGTTAGTAATACGTAGAGGTTCATACCCCACCCCTTTCAGGTTACCCACTTGTCTATAGGGTTTAGGATATAGAGGGCTTTGGGGCTTCAGGTTTTGGGGTTTTGGGAAGGGTTCTTTTAAGGGTTGGCTGAAGGGGTGGTTGCCGGGCTTTGAGTTTCGCGGTAGACGCGGCTCGGGAATTGAAGATTACGGGTTCGGGGGTTTAGTCATTTTGGGGCTTAGGGTTTAGGGCTCGGTTTAGGAGTTCAGTGTAATGCTACTTCCTAAACCCAGAATGTCGCAAGCCCTGCCCAGAGAGCCCAATGCCCCCTAATGAAGGTATATATCTAAACCATAATATTCTGGCCCTACCCCGAAACCCTAAACCCTAAACCCAAACCCCTATAAAGTTTAAAATACGTTCCTTAATGCAGGGGTCGTGGGCTCTCTGGGGTATATAAGCATGTGAACTCTGTTTTCACTGGTAGGATGCCCTTGAAGCACAAGCTTTGTATCACCCACTGGAAGGTTCAGACGACTGAAAGAGAAGAGGTTCTCATAAGAACATCATAGGGTCTTCGTACGGGTTCTATAGGGGCATATAGGCATTCATTGGGTTTCAGGATTTACAGTTTTAGCGTCAGGAAGCAGTAGAGTCACAGCCCTTATACTGACTTGTCCCGTCTCTGCGACACTGCTTGACATCCAGGTCTCCTCCTTGAATAGACCCTGAACCCACAACCCAACACCGTGGTTTGGGGCTTTGGGACTTGCGGTTCAGTGTGAGAGAGTCACCCCAAACCCAAACCCAAACCCTAAACCCTAAACCCTAACCCCTAAACCCCAACCCTAGGGAACGACTCTGAGCCCCGAGGTCAGTGCTAGCATTCTCGCGCGGCGCTCGCAGAAGGAGCTGCGGGTGGCATCAGGGTTTAAGGGCTTGGGGTTGAGGGGTTTCGGGTGTAGGGTTTAGGGTTTCGGCTTTAAGGTTTAAGGTTAAGGGTGTAGGGTTTCGGGTGTAGGGTTTAAGGGCTTAGGGTTTGGGGTTTCGGATGTAGGGTTTACGGTTTAAGGTTTAGGGTTCACGGTTTACGGTTTAGGGTTTAGGGGTTTGGGTTTTAGGATTTAGGGTTTAGGGTTTAGATGAGAGCCCCCGGGGAATACTTGCTTGGTGGATGGAAGAACTTGTGGTGTGATGGCTTTGCATACTTGGTGTCTACGCAACGGTCTGAACTCATAGAGCCCTGTTTATTGAAAGAGTTAAGGGACAATAGGCGTGACCCCTAGAAGGGACCCCTATTCCAAATACCCTATACAACCCTCATATACCCCTTACATAGTCTCATAAAGCCGCCATACAACCCCAAGAGTCCCTTTAAGGGTCCCTCCTTTAGTCTTGAAAGAGAAAGAAGAGGCGGAACGGTGCAATTTGGGTTCATGGAGCTCAGAGCTCAAGGCAGAAGACCACAAACGCAGCAAGCCGGCAAACAATGAGGTGATAGGGGTCGTGATAGGGTGTGCAGAGGCTCCGGCTATTAAAGCAGGGGTTTTGCCTACTGTCTTGTCCTTAGTTCCCCAATACCTCACCTTTAAACTTCCAAGTTGTTTCCAACCAGATTTTTGAGCTCTTAATCCGACAGAGTCAGTCTCACGCCTTTCGCTGGGGACCGTGCTCAGGACCCGACGTGCTTTAAACTTGTTGGGTTCTTATAATTCAGTAGTAATCTGAAAATTCAGTTTTTTTCGCACTGGTTTACTGGGGAAGTAAGAGTCTCTAAGCCAGAAGGTTTAGGGCTTCTGGGCTTTACGGCTTACGGTACGGAGTGGCAGCCTGACGTAGCACTTTCTCTGCATAGGTCGCTCCATACTTACCTCATAAACATCCCTGACAACTCCTCTTCCAACTAGTTTACAAGCTCCGGGGAAACTCCAATCTTACAAGAATTGTCGGCGTCGCTTATGACAGTACCAGATTCTGTGCCCAAGCCAGCGAGAGGACTTACTCAACTTTTGGGTACGCCCGCCCTTCGAGGTGCAACCGTCCGGGGCAACGGCTAATGGTATGGGGCAGATGTTATGCGTTATTGGGTCCGAGTTTAGGGTTTAGGTTTGGGGTCATGCTTTCGAAACTCGCTTTGCGAGCTTTCTCGAGAACTGGAGCTTCCCTTTCTTGTGACTGCTCTGGTGCGCAAGAGGAACGCTGAGGTGAGTGCACCGAGGCAAGCACTTACCTCATTATAAGCTCCCTCGTTCACTGAAGCCCGGGTGATTGCAGGTACATACGAGTTCAGCTCTTTCTCAGAGTGTATACCCTGCATGATCTCGAAGCGGTCAATCACCGAGGAACAGGCAACTGGTTGGAGAGCCTTGTCAGCTTACCTGACCAGAGATGAAGTGGATCGAGTAAGGTCCAACTACCAGGTCCGGGAAAGCTATTCTATCTTCTCTGGAGGCTTACAAGGCATTTGGGAAGCTCACGCAGCCCGCCTTTGTCTCCGTGATACTCTCGAAACAGGTTCTGCGGGCCAAGATTTTGCTCCCTGTAGGGGTATACGGGGGAACATCGACAGCTCAAGCACCCTCAACCCCAGAACCCGAACCTTAACCGCTTCTGGAAGACATCCTAGAAAATTACCAATGTTATTCCTGAGGTTCCGAATTGTAGTTATACTCTACAGGAGCCCAAAACCCTATTCTAATTATTGAAGCCCCGACAGTAGCAAAGCCATTCTTCCTCAAGAGCCCAACCTTCGAACAAAATCTTTTCCGCAATGCAGGGTTCAGGGTGCAGGGTTTAGGGGTTAGGGGTTTGTTTCCGTTTAACATTTGTAGCGTAGCAGCAGCACGCTTCGAAAAGCAGTGTAATGAGTGTCTCAACGCAGTTCAGGCATTGCGCACCTTGCGTTTCTTCGTCTCAGAGGATGGCTTAACTGAGCGCGTTTTTCTCTGATTCTGTTTGCACCTAGCCGCTAACCCCGGATCCCGAAACCCCAAACCATAAACCCTGAACCCTTAAACCCCAAACCCTAAACCTCAAACCCCAGGTTTTATTGGTTTGTCTCGTTCCTGTGTTTTGCTTGTTCAGGGTGGTTCAGAAATCCAAGGACTCCCGTGAGGTTTAGGGCCTAGGGTGTAGTGTAGAGTTTAGGCTAGGGCTTTGGGTTTAGAGTTTAGGCTAGGGTTTAAGGCTAAGGTTTATAGGGTTTAGGGATCTAGAATCACCCCGTACTTATAGGCTTCTTGAAGGAGGGAGTCCTTCGTTCAATTTTGATTTGTAGAGGTGGGGACTTCAACATGATAAGCAGGGGACTAGAGTTACGGCTAGCAGCTCTTCGGGGTTCAAAGCTTCATTGTGCGTCACGAGTGTGCGGTTTAGAGTGTAGTGTCTAGTAGCAGCATCTTAGCTGCAACCAGTTGAGGGGGTCCGTAGTGCAGGCCAGTAGTTTGTTATATAGCAGACTTATCATTGTGTACGTGTATGGCCCTCCAAAAGGGATTGCCCCGCAAGAAAAGCAAGAAACAACTATACACAGCACACTGTTGATGCACAGTAGCATAGACTCTAAACACCATCAACCCCCAAACCCAAACCCCAAACCCAAAACCCTTAAACCCCTAATCCGAAGCACCATAAGGTTCCTTTAACCCAAACCATAAAACCCCCTGAACTCGGAACCCAAACCACTAATCCGAAGTACCATACCAGCACCCCCCAACTACCCTCTAACCCTTAACCCTAAACCCCTGGATCTAAACCTAAACTCTAAACCCTAAACCCTAAACCTTATATCCTAAATTCCTCACTTTTAAGGACCACAAGGGCCCTATTAAAGGGTGCTTGGGGGCGTGCTGGTAGGGTTCCTTGAACCCAGAGCTTGGGTTCTCGGGTGAGTGCCCTCACCAGACTTCGGGCAAGGAAGGGCCCTTTTCTGGGTTTGGGGTTTAGGGTTTAGGGTTTAGGGGTTTAGGGTTTAGGGGTTCAAGATTTATGGTTTGGGGCTTAAGATTTAGGGTTTAAGGTTTAGGGCAAAGGGATGCCGGAGGGCACAAGTGCCCAAGCAGTAGGGTTTTCGGCCCCAAATACTAGACTCTGAATGGATTCTGGCATCTAGAACCATACTACTTGGGTTACCCTAGACCCGAAACCCCTAGACCCTTAACCCTACTCTTTGGTTTCTTGGACCCTCTTTTTAGATCGGCCCCTGTGAAGGAAATGTTCTGCGCAGTGGATGACACGGCGCCTTGGACTCCGCGCAGACGAAATCCGTTTCGATGTCAGTCAAGGGTGTAGAGTTTAGGGTATAGGGTTTAGGGTTTAGGGTTTAGGGTTTAGGGTTTAGGTAGAGTTTAGAGTATAAGGTTCAGGCTTTAGTTTCAGCCCTCATCAACCCCAAACCCTAAAACCCAATCACAAACCGAACCGAAGCCCTAAACCAAAAGCTGCATTACCCGTAGTCCATTGCATTGTAGTTTCCTTTGTTGGCTTCGGCTGAACCCTCGACCCTAAACTCTCAACCCTAAACCCTAAACCCTACACCCTAAAACGTAAACAGACTGTCGCGCGTTTTGAAGGCTGAAGGGCTACCTGGGGATCCAAAAACCTACCGTTTCAAGGGTTCGGGGTCATGACCGACTATTTTGTACGGTTTGGGGTCACAGGTAGGATTTCTGCATGTCCATGTACGGGAGTACTTTAAGGTAGCAGTAAAGACTATGTGAGCGCATGGACCCTTCCCCACGATTTACTGGTTTAACCATGGGTGTCAGGTTTACGCGAAGGTTTAAAGGTACTTAAACTAGAACGCAAGGGTCCTAAGCACCTGGATGGCGGATACTTACCAAACATCATAATACGGTTGCTGATAAACAAATCCTGCATTACCTACAATAAGGAATATACCATAATTCCCACAATTTAGGGTCGTAGCAAGTCGTAGCGTAGAATCTCTACTTGGTACTTCGGACGCTCAGAGAAAGTCTTGAGTCTAGAGCCGCACTCGTCGCTCATTTCTGAGGCCCCAAGCTATGGGCCCATAGATGAAAACGGAGGGGATACACGGGTTGAGGGTTTGTGGGTTTTTGCCAAGGGGAGGGTGTAGAGTTTAGGATAAGAGCCCAACGGGTCCAGTGTACCTATATAATTAGACGTTCTATCAGAGCGATGAGCACTCCAAACTAGCATCCTTCTTCCACAAGATTCTGTATCAGGAGTGCCCCATCTCTCCTGCCTGGTTGCAGGGGAAGATCTGCTTTCTGCCTAAAGTCCCCAGGCCGTCTAGAGTGCGTGATTTGAGACCTATAAGTCTCACGCCATGTCTTAATTTAGGGATTTAGGGGTTCAGGGTTTAGGGTTTAGGGTTTAGGGTTTAGGGTTTAGGGTTTAGTATTTTCGAGAATCCTGCTTGGCAGACCAAGGTCCCATTTCCCGCCATATAAAAGCAGGACAGCATGCATGTCGGCCAGGCACACAGGCCATCGAGGCGGTATGCGCGGCACAGGCGACCATGAAGTTGCACACACAGTGCACAGGTCGACAAGTCTTGGTGGCCAAACTTGACATATCGCAAGCCTTTGACAGTCTGTCGCATCATGCCATATGGAGATTCCTTATGGACACCCATCCCTGTAGCGAAGCACGAGCGCTATGGGAAATGTCGCAAAACACCCCTGTGCACCTCCGGCTTGGGACGCAGGCCCTTGAGAAGGGGGTCTTACAAGGGACCTCGTTCAGCGTGGATTTGTTTTCGAGAATCATGGACCATTTCCTGTCCGGTCTCTTGGATACCTGGAGGAGCAAGCAGACGGAGGTCTTCCTGTTTGCCCCACGCTCTCTTCTTCGCTGACGACATCATACTCTTTGCTGCGGATTCTGTTGAGTTACAGACTAAACTGCGAGACCTGCAAGCGAGTCTCAAGACCATTTCGGAATCCTTATCATGTTTTGGGAAAAGAAAACTGGAATACCGTTCTTCGGCATATGCTTGGCGCAACTACGCAGTTCGACCCGTGGCGGGTTTTCTTCCTTGGTATGGTGGAACCCTGAACCCTGAACCCTAAAACCCTAGACCGTGCGTTGGCGATTGTCAGCGTCTCTTGCCTCAGCTCGCTTGGTTAGCCACAGGGCCGATTTTGGGTTGTAGTTTGGATCGGTTTTGGTTCCGCCGTACTAATAAACCCTAACCCTAAACCCCATTCTAGCTAGGTCGCGTTTGGAGCTAGAAAGTTCGACATAGGATGGCCCCCATCTTAGGGTACCAGAAACTCTAAACCCTGAGCCCTTGCCCTCCGCCCTATACTTGGAAGATCATGGGACTTAGCAACTAGGTTTATATTTTGGTAACTATACTTGTAAGTAACTGTAACCCCCAATTAAAGTAGCTATAACCTTACTGACTAAGTCCCATGATCCTCCAAGCAAGGGTATAAATAAGGTAGCTATACCTGAAAGGAACTATAACTCCAATTAAGGTAGTACTACTCTTACTTACTAAATCCCATGATCCTCTGAATAAGTCTATAAGCCCCAAAACCTGAAACTTATGAACCCTCTAGCCAGAGACTCCAAGACCCTTGAATTTAGGGTTTAGGGTTTAGGGTTTAGGGAGGAATACACCTTAGAGTATATTAGGACCCCTAATATGATTCATAAAGGCACATTCCTGAATTCCCTTATAGATCCGTTACAACAAGGAAACCGCAATCAGGAACCCTGATAAGGAAGGCTCCTTAGGGTACAGGTTTTACGTAGTGTTTGAGGCAGAGAAGCAATCAGCAGAGCAGTTCGAGAAGACCGCGTGGTCGAACGTCTTCAGGCTCACGGTTTCGGGTTAAATTCTTGTATTGGGTCCGAGGGGACCCAGTACGTAGGTACTCAGGTTTCAGGATGGTTTAGGAAAATAGCTATGTAAGACAGTAGTTGGGGGAAATGATCGTTGGGTACTTGACCGCTCGTATCAGGGTGTCGGGTTGAGTTTAGTTAGTAGTTTGGGCTTTCGGGCTTAAGGACTCTTAGGGCAAAGGTTGTGGCTCCGTAAGTTCGCGATCTTGTTGCAGTGAGAATTCGGGCATCTTGAGCAAGAAAGTCTTACTTGAGGGCTTCAGAATTCGGCTGACAAGTTCTGCGCATGAAGCCGGAACCACAAACACGAGAGCAACACCCCATCTACTTCCTTAAACCCTAAACCCTGAACCCTAAACCCTAAACCCTAAACCCTAAACCCTAAAGCCCTGGTGCCCCTCAACGCGTATAAACCCTGAACCCTTTGCCTTCCTCATCGCAAAACCCCAGATCAAACCATGAAGTCGTCTCTTTTGTTGACCAAGTAAGCATGTGCGCTGTCCGTGTTTCGAGAAGCTGGAAACCCTGAAGCCCTAATATACGGGCCTGAACAATCAGAATAGGGTCTTGGGCTCCTTATACTTTATAAGCATAATAAGGAACCCAAGGAATAATATTGGTAGTTATTTAGGCTCCTACATTTTACCCAACTCCGAAATCCTAACAACCCAAGGCCCTTGGAAGACCCTAAACCCTAAACCCTAAACCCTAAGTTTCCATGGTTCGGGGCCGGGGGAGAAGAGGCAGGGTTGCATACCGAAGCCGACAGCAGTGCCCACGAAAAGGATGCAAGACTCGATCCTAAGCCCCTAGATTTTAACCCCCAAACCCCACACCCGAGACCCAAAACCCTGAACCCCTAAACCCTCAAGTCCCAACTTCAATCCTAAACCCCTGAAGCCGACTTTTTGAAGCTTTAGGCCCGTTTCGATTCCTGAAACCTCAATCCCCCAGTCCTACACCGTACAGCGAATCCAGGGTTCAGGGTTTAGGGCTTAGGATCTACAAGGGATTCCTTTACAGGTTTCGGGTTCAGGGTTTAGGGTTCAGGGTTCAAAACCAATAAAATCTTTAGGGTTTAGGGTTTAGGGTTGAGGTGTGTAGGGGTTTAGGGTTTAGGGTTTAGGATCTGCAATGGTGTTTCGGGCTTCTTTGACGGGGTCTGTACGGTCTGGGGTTTAGGGCGGCGCCGGGTTCAGGGTCCGCTTCGGGTTGAGGCTTAGAGCACTTTGGGTTTAGAGTTTGGGGCCTTAAGGGTTTAGGGGGGGTACTAGGGTGTTACAGTAATGAACCCTAGAAAGTTGGAACATGGGTTTAGGATGATGCGTGCCGGGAAACCTGATGCTTCACCTCAAGGGCATGAGGATTGGATGTTCCAACTTTAACTTAAGGCCTCAACCCTAAACCCTAGCCTGACTTGAAGGCTTCTACTATAGAACCCTTCAAAGCACACCAAGCCGGCTCAGGGTTTAGGGTTCAGGGTTCAGAGTTCAGAGTTTAGTGTCCAGGGTTTCGGATTTTTCAGGGTTTAGGGCTTCAAGGGTTTAGGGTGCAACCAATGAGATATCTCAGTCCGTCCCCACCCCATGAGAGAAGCATGCCTGGGGGCGCCAAATACCCAAATAGTATGTTTTAGTAACCCTAAACCTCCCTAAACCTCCCTAAACCCTAAACCCTAAACCCTAAACCTGTAGCTTTTCTATGGAACCCTTAACGTAACCCTGATTCATTAAAGCCAAACCCTATACTACCCTTATGGAACCCATGAGGCCCATGAGTGAACCCGTTGAAGGTTGAACCCTGCACACCCAGGGTTTAGGGTTTAGGGTTTAGGGTTTAGGGTTTAGGGTTTAGGGTTTAGGGTTTACCTGTGACCCCCAACCCTACAAAATAGTAGGTTATGATCCCGTAATTAGAGGGTAGAACCCCGAAACCGGTAGGTTTTTGGAGTCCTAGGTAGGGTGTGTAAACCCTTAGAGACGGCAATTCGGGAGCTGCGGAGGCTTCCTGGCTACTCGCTTCTCCAACCGAAGATTGAGCAGGCTCTGCGTAACCGCCAATCCTAAAAAGCCTAAAACTAAAGCCCTGCCTGGGAATCCAAAAACCTACCGTTTAAGGGGTTCTACCTTCTAACCAAGGGGTCATAACCTGCTATGTTGTAGGGTTTGGGGTCACAGGTAAACCCTAAAGACCTAAATCTAAGACCCTCGCACACTAACAAAGCATAAACCCGAAGCCCTAAAGCCAATGCCGCAGGCCTTAACCGGTACTGTAGGACTTTTCTCAGAAAATCACAGTTAGGAAGCTTGAAAAGGTTAGCTTTATCGGCTCCAAGGATACCGGTTTAGGGTTTAGGGTATAAGCCCTACCTTCACCCCCACATAACTTACCTTTAAGGACTGATATCAAGAAACCATAAAAGGGAGCCCTAAACAGTTAAGTTATTTGGGGTCCAGGTGAACCCTAAATCGAGCAGAACAGTGTTCAGGATCTGGTTCGAGGGGATCCGGAGGTCAAGGCTTCGGATCTTCCTGAGACTGCCAGAACCTACTTTGTTATAGGTTCCTACTCTAAAAAAGGATATGAAGACAACACTATAAAGCTAAGCATGATAGGAAGGATATGGAAGAGAACGCTATAAAGCTAAGCATGATAGGAAGGATATGGAAGAGAACACTATAAAGCTAAGCATGATAGGAAGGTTATGAAGAAAACATAATAAAGCTAAGCATGATAGGAAGGATATGAAGAGAACACTATAAAGCTAAGCATGATAGGAAGGATATGAAGAAAACACTATAAAGCTAAGCATGATAGGAAGGATATTATAAAGCTAAGTATGATAGGAAGGATATGAAGAGAACACCTAATCATGTAATTAGACTTTTTTGGGCACCCTACCAACAAAGGAGGTTTTGGTAGCACATGGTCGGGATTCAGTTAACGCTTGTATACGGGTTACATGAAGGTGCTTCATGGTTCTTCAAAGGTTCTATGCAACGCGACTTGCAATTTTGGGGTTTGCAACTCTTGTGTGGAAAGGTTTTGGTTTCGGGTTCAGTGTTTTCCGCTAGGACTTTGGGTTTAGGATACGTTCGTTAGGGTTTGCGCTCTCAGAAGCCTCTATACTGTCTATACTGTATATACCCTCAGCGCTGCATCCTAAACGCTGTCAGTTTATGATGAAGCGCCTTGTCCCGCAATGAACGGAAACCTTAGACCGTTATTCCCTAAAGCCGAAACCTAGACCCCTAAACCCAATCTCCCCAAGCTGCACAAACCCCTACAGCGCAGGAATTTCTCCCCAAAATCTCCAACACAATCCATGACACCTGCACAACACCCTATGAACACCCCAAGCATTTAAACATCCTTGGAGGACCTTCAGGAGTTGCGTCGGCGAGCCAGGCGGAGCACTTCGGTCTTAGGTCGGGTTCGGGGCTTTGAGTTTGGGGCTTTAGGGCTTGAGCCCTAGTTTTAAACCCTACATCCGAAGCCATGAAAACGGTTTCGGGTTTAGGGTTTTGAGTGGGTTTTGGGTTCGGGTCTTTGGGTTTAGAGCTTTGGGGTTTACCTGTCTCGTTCCCTACAGGTTAGCAGCCATTGCCCTTAAATCAGCAGGTAGAAGCCAGAAAACTGTAGGTAATTAGAGTCCCAGGTAGCGCTTATAAGGGTAAACCCTAAGCCCGAAACCTCAAGCTTAGGGCTTAAGCCCTAAGCCCTAAACGGTTTCGGGTTTAGGGTTCCCTAAACCCTAAACCCTAAACCCTAAACCCTAAACCCTGCAGGGTTTCGAGTGGGTTTTGGGTGCAGGTTGCAGGCGAGCTCGGACATGGAATAAGGATCACTTGGTGTTGGGGGTTTAGGGTTTAGGGTTTAGGGTTTAGGGGATTCTCTGGGTCCATCGATAAGGGTTCTATAAGGGCTACTATAAGGGTGAATAAGGATCACTTGGTGTTGGGGTTCTCTGGTCCATATGGGTGGTTGTCAAAATTAGGGTCCTTTTGGGTGCCTTATTATATAATACGGCACCGATTATGTAGGGTACCCCAAAAGGGACCATAATTTTGACAACTACCCATATATAAGGGATCTATGATAGGGTTCTCTACTAGGGGCCTTAAGAATTAGAATAGGGTTTGGAGGGGTTCCTTTAAGGGTTCCTTAAATTAAAGGGCTACTATAGGGGTTTGGGGTCTAGGGGCCTTAACAATTGGAATACGGTTTTGGGGCCACTTATTTAGGTTATGGTATAGTAATATACCCCCCAAACCCAATTCTAATTATTATGGCCCCTATGTTACAGGCATGAGGACGTGGATGTTCCGACTTTCTGCTTTCTCTAAGGATCTGAGGGTTTAGGGTTTTGCTTTTTTTTGGGGGGGGTATATGGGTGCTGCACGGTGTAGGCTGCAAGGGTCCAGGTTTAGGTTTAGTCTTTTTTCAGCTTCCCGGCAGTACACGTTTTGGCTTGTCGGTGTTCGGGTAGTTTAGTCAGACTAATGTAGACGCCTGGATAATTAGCACGTGTACCATAACAAGGATCGCAGGATGTCCACCTCCGACAACCACGATGACATCACGTCCACACTAAACCGTAAACCCCTAAACCGTAAACAGTTGGAGCCAGACTTGACCCTATGACATCTCTGACTTTCGGTCGCATCTTTCAAAGATAGTGTTCGTAGATGACAGTGCACCCGGTTTCGCCTACAAGGTGATGGCCACGGCTGGCTACGCTCTAGGTGCTGCGCTACACCCTTGTGGCTGCGCTAGTGAAGGAGCACAACTTCACAACTTAGCTAGCCCTGGTTGCTGCAAAGTCGAGTCGTACTGTCGCCGGCACCTCCCTATGTTCCAACTCAACTGTTTCTTTAGGTCCATTCGGCCATTATGAAGTTGACGCGTTGGATGATGCAAGGCCTCTTCGAGGACTTCGCCAACTGCGCGCGCACAGTCTCCCTGGTAACCCTAGCAGTCCCAAGCTGCAAGAGGACCCTGATCGCCGAGTTGCCAAAGACCTGGAGCGAGCAGTACGAAAGCCACCCTAAACCCTAAACCCTAAACCCCAAACCGCATTGACATCGTCTGAAGTGGAAAGCCTAGGGGTTCAGGGTCTGCAGCACCCTGGAAAGGCCCTGCAAACCCGATGCCCTGTCCCTAGAGACCCCCAAACCCCTTAATTAAGGAGTATACCTTAAATGATCATAGGATCCCTAATATGATTTAAGGTCTATTCCGTAATCAAGGGCTTTTGGAGTTTCTAGGTCTCTTGTTATCATGCCAGGGTTTAGGGTTTGGGGTTTCTGAGTTGGGATTAGGATGTCTGTCCTCCTAGGTCCTAGGTTACTCATCATCTATACTCCAATTTATCTGTTCTCTTCGCCCAGTCGTAAGTTTCAGAAAGCAGGTGTCCCGAATGTAGACCCCAAACAGGAGGATCTTGGATACCAGAACTCCCAGAAGACAACATGACCCTACCTGTAGGCTCATACCCTACCCCTTTTTGTGGGTACCTGGTTTTCTTTGTAAAAGATCCTAACCATAAAACTAGATACCTGAAAAAAGGGGTAGGGTATGACTCTCCAGGTAATGCTCAGAACCCCTCACGTGACCAGGTTTTCTCATCTCCAAATGCAAGTCGACGAGAAGGAGGCTATTTGGTGTTCCTATGGGTTCAGGCTCAGGGTTGTTTGGCCCAGAACCCTAAACCCTAAACCCCAAACCCTAAACCCTACCCTAAACCCTAAAACCTTTAGGGTACAAATTATACTATAAAGAGCTCCAAAACCCTATTGCAAAAAATATTAGGCCCGGATATTGCGCAGCCTTCCATCCTCTACGGTGAAGAACCCCGGGCCAGAAACGGAAAACGCCGGGTTCAACCCTGCACCCTGAAATCTAAGAGCCATGAATCCTAAACCCCTAAACCCCTAAACCCTGAACCCTAAACCCTATAATCACGAAGAACTTGCACGATTTGGGGTTTAGGGTTTTCCGAGGGACTGTCTAAGTCTAACGAAATCAGAATAAGAAGCTCTGACATGGAGGTCTTAGGCTACAACCTTAACTTCCCTGAGCCCAGCCCTAAACCCTGAAACCAGTAGTCCAACCCCTAAAGTCAGAAAGCCAAAACCTCAATTAAACCCCAGAGCCATCAATGCCAAATCCAAGACCCCAAACCCTAAAGCCGTTACCCCAAAATCTCAAATCCCAAACCTTTAAACAGAAACCCTGAACCTAATCCTCAAGTCCTATGAATCATCCTATGAACCCTAACTCCTAAACCTTACATCCTGTAAAACCCTAAATCCTAAGCCTTGAATCCTAGAAACCCTAACCTTTGGACCCTAAACCTTAAACCCAACCCTAAAGCCTAAAGCCTAAAGCCTAAACCCTAAACCCTAAACCCAACCCCAACCCTATAAACCCTAAACCCTAAACCCTAAACCCGAAACCCAACCCCAAACCTATAAACCTTCAATCCTAAGCCTCAAAGCCTTAAAGTCCGACTTCCGCCCGCTTCGGAGGATCCCGGCTCCCTCGACAGCCTGATGCTGCGCTCCTGGGACTCCGAGTGGCGTCGGGTTTAGGGTTTAGGATTGGCGGTTTAGGGTTTAGGATTTGGGG